TGTATAATACAATCTCGAGTATAATACGATCATCATCTTTTGTGCTTAAAAAGAATTAAAAATCTAATCATCAATAATCCTTGTATAATACTAACCCCCACCCCAGGGTGAGTTTTTGGGTAAAATTTCCAGTATTATACATGAATAAATACAGGACTTCAGCTCTGGGGAATTTACTAAAACTCCTAACTTTACATTCAATGGAGTCCCAATTTTGCTCACACATCTTTTCTTATTTCTTGTTGCTTCAGGTGAAACGTTATAAATAGTTTGCAAGTTTTCAGTGAGAAGATCAATAATGCGTGGTTACTTTAACCTATGCTTCTGTTGTTTTTACACAGTTTAGCTTAAACAGGACTGTTTAATCTGGATTATTGTGTCAGAATAAAACAGAGTTTGAATATTTAAGGACTCAATTCCCAGCAAAGATGAAACCGTGACTTTGCCCCTAAAAATATTTTATTTTTCAGACATTTGTGAGACATACTTCCCGTTAATTTATTAAAAACTGCTGATATTTATCCTAATTTCCTCCTGGTTGTTGAAAATCCCCACACACTCGTGACCTCTCAGTAGACCTGTCACATAATTAAATTGTCATTTCACACCTATAAGAGCCAAAGGAATTTCACAGTCATGATATTAATTAAAAACCTTTAAAAGCTTGTCGCTCACATGGAGAGGTTGTGTAACTGTAATGGTGCAGACACGCAGTAATAGAGCTATTAGTGACTAAGATAGCAACTATAAAAGGAAACACCTATAAAGCCTTCTGACGTTTTAATAAACTGAAGTATAAGAAAATARGTTTTATATTATGAGTGCTTTAATTGGTTTTTCAGGACACCAGAACAAAGGAAAAACAAAAGGCATGCTTTAGTGGTTGGAGTTGCACATTTTGTATGTTAACAAAATAGCCAACAATWTATCATAGTATTATTTTATTAAAACCATGATTCTTTAAATCTTAATATTGTTTGTTTCCCCTAAATGGTGGCACATTTGGTGGGAAAATATATTTGTAGGTTGAGCAGCAGTGCTGATATGTAGATTACAGCCTTGAAAAACTTGCCAAATTATCTTTACCAAAGTAAAACAGTTAATGTTGTTGCTGTGTGTGGTTCTTCGATACTTCATTCATCTTTTTCCTTCATATTTCAATTATCCAATCCAATAAACAACACCAAACAAAAGGAAATAGAATAAATTCAGTTAATATTTCATCAGCCTGATAAGATRTTTCAGCGATCTATCAGGAATAATTATTATCTCGATGATAACATCTTTGCTTTTCATTATTAGACTGATGAAACGCAGCCAGCGCACAGCGTGTAATTCAACAGTTGTTCTGTGTTTTGTATTTTCAGCTCCCTGGTGCTGCCTGGGAAGAAGCCAGTAAGGATGAAAAATGTGGGCGTGCTGTGAATGGCAGCGCAGGATTCTGTTTARAGGGTTTGTGGTGCTGTGACAGATGGACCTCCTCCACACCTCTTAGTGTATGACAACACAGCTGAAGAGAGAAAACTGAGCTCTAACATCTGTCGTGTGTGTGGATGTAAGTTTTTTTCTTTTCTTTTATGGTGTAGCCGATGGTAACAACGGCTGGTGTTTACAGTGTGAGAAATACATGTTGGTTTTAGATTTAGAAAGGTGGTAAAATGGTTGTTGTGTCTTCGTTTATTGACTCACACGGTCAGCTTCAGCTTCACGGTCTTTATCTGGAGATGGTAAAGAGCTGAGTCGATCGAGCGTGATCCTTTTGAGAAGCACTCTCTTGACCGTGACCTCAATATCTGAGGTTGTCTTTTCGTCAACAAAATGTTTGAGCGTATTTTCTTTCTTTTGTTTTCCAGACAAAACTTCCCAAGACACTGGTGTGCAGGGGTGGAACCAAGGGGTGGCCATGGCCAACATAGAAAAATCTTTAGCCACCCGAAACACTGCTTTGCCAGTAATGTTTTGGCAACTGCTCAAACAGGTAGTTCTCATGATGTAACTATACATGGTAGTCACTGCTCATGTAAGTAAATGAGAAAGTGACTAAGAAATATGTTTAGATCCTCAAATTGTCCTGTAGGAAAAAACGTATCATTTTCTGGGCCACCCCTTTGCAGAGGTGTCAAAAGTATTCACAATCATTACTCAGGTAAATGTATAGATACTATGGTTTAAAAATTCTCTTTTTTAAAAGTAAAAGTATCAACTCAAGCTTTTTACTCAAGTAAAAGTATAAAAGTACTAGTTGCAAAACTACTTAAAAGTAAAATTTAAAAGTAATGGGAACAAAACATTGAGGACAAAAGCTTAGACTGAGCCACAGGGATTTATAGTGCACAACCACCTCCCAAAAAAAGCCTTGTTTTCAAGACAATAATGACTACAATACTGACCAGGTCATCATTGTAAATGAAGGCTTACATGGTCAAATAAAGGTTTATATAATGTTGAAAATTTTGGGATGCCCCCTGAGGTTGGGAAACACTAGTGTATTGTTAACAGGCTTTTTTTCTGAATAAGTGGTTCTATTTTGAAAATTTAGGATCCATGTGGTAAACTCAGATAAAAGATGAAATTTTTCATCTTCTGTTAGGATTGTAAACTTTTGACACCCTGATGACATCATTGTTTGCATATTTGTTTAATGAAATTAATTTAAATTTTTATAAAATTTGATTGGTTTATAGCAAAGTTATTGGCAGTACAGTTTCCTGTACCCCTAACRTTGGGAGGTAGGTTGGGCTACAGCCATCCTATAGCCCAAGGACAGAGAGAWCATGCAAACTCTACCTAAAAAGGTCCTCAGGTCAGGATGCGATCYGACAACCTTCTTGCTGAGAGGCATCTGCTCTACCAACTGAGCCACCGAATCAGGAGTTCGGTTATGTACAGTATGATGACACGGCAGAATGAAAACAAGCCAAAGTGAAATAAAAATGAAATACTGCTTGCAKTTTTAAAAAGTAAGGAGTAGAAGTGCAAGACTAGTAAAGTATAAATTACCTAAATTTCTACTTAAGTAAGGTAACAAAGTATTTGTACTTCACTGCTTGACAACTCTGCCCTTTGTGACCAGTGATCCCTGTCTGGCCAACCCTATAAAAATCATTTGGTTCCACCACTGCCTGTGTATAAGGATTTTTGAGAGTTTGCACATCAGAAGGAAATCAAGATGTCTGAGATAACGAGCTGGACTGAGTGGCCTTATGAGGCGTGTTCCTCCAGAGAGATTTCAGTTCTGTCTATTCCCAAATCCCTGACATGTTTTGTCTCATGTATGTCTTCTAAGGGT